CCCTCTCGCTGCTCGCGCCTCCTGCGAGCCCTCCCGCGAGCCCTCCCGTTGCTCGCGTCTCCTGCGAGCCCTCCCGCGAGCCTTCCCGCTGCTCGCGCCTCCCTCGAGGCCTCCCGCTGCTCGCGCCTTCCGCTCCCTTTCCCTTTCCCGCTGCTACTGCTGCTGCCGCTGCCGCCGCTCGCCGTTGCTGCTGCCGCCGCTCGCCGCTGCTTCCTCGTTTCTCCATCAGGCTCAGTATACTCTTAATATTAAGTTTATTTGAATTTTGAAATGATTAAATTTCTGTTAATAGATTAATAATATATTATTTTGATTTTAATGTTGTTAATTTTTATTTATTTAAAATTATTAATTATATTATATATTTTTATATTTTAACGCCTCGCTTCGCTCGGGCGAGCGCCTAGCGCCTCGAGCGTTTGTGGACCTTGGCGCCTTTTGGCGCCTAGCGCTTTTTAAATCACTGGTTACTTGTAAAGTTATGCCTATCATGTCTCCTGATATTAGACTAATGAATTATCACAATCGCCCATGCAAAAATAAAATTCCATGTGGAAGGTAGCCCAAAATCAACCTCCAAGATTCTCATATTGGACCAACCCAAAATAATATTATTCTTGGAGTGAACAAGGTAAAAATCATCTTCGCATGTGCCAACCCACAAGGTTAGGCCCATGAAGTTACTCCTGTTTCAATCATCATGGCCTGATAAACTATTATCCCAGAAATTTGGATAGAATTGTTATTAATCACTAACAAAAAACAATAAGGTCCAAGTCAAATGGCAACTCTATTAAGTCTTTACTTAACCAGACCAATTATCATGCTAGAAGGCAACTAGGAGAAATGCAATGTGTTCTTCTAGTGTACCTCATCATGATTAATGTGCCATAACTCGAGAATAGGCCTTAATCATGAAAGATATATTACTAAAGCTCAAGTCTAACAGTAACTCTATCATCTTTAGAAAACCAACCACTAACATGCCAGAATTAACGCAGGAAAGATATAAAGCAATGTGTTCTACTGCACCTCAGCTGGACTGTCCTTGGCCTGTAGACTAGTCTCCCAATCTCCAACCTACTCAACTCCACAAACTTCCAATCCCCTCTACCAATCTCTGATGACAAATCAAATAATGTTTTTTGAAATTATCAGAGTTCAGATTCTCATGACCCTTTTTTGTCTCTTCAGAGAAGATTCTATCCACTGCAGAGCAATAAGATCTCCATGAGAGTAGCTAGTCAATTCCAATAACTCGTACAATCGATCACCAACAAAACTCATAGAAGGAACATCCACAACCTTAACCAACTGTCTTCTAAAGAATCTAAACAACAACTTATTAAGTATTAGCAAGACATCTTGATAAATGGAATGTGAACATCACTCCAAAGCAAACAACCAAAAAGCAAAGAACACAATTGAGACCAAGGCAGCACAATTGAAACTATATTTGCTTAGAAAGATTTGATTTTACACAAAAAAAAATGATTTATGCACTCCTATATGTAATGAATCTATTGGACTGATATTTCCAGATACCAAAGTACGAGAGGAGAATAACAGAGTGTGTGTGTGAGACAGAGATAGAGAGAGGCACACATATCACAACATTTACAGAGAAATAACAAGAGAAGGGTGTAAGTAGAGCAAGATCATAAACACCAGATATAGTTCCAGCAAATTATATTGAAAAGAAGTGATATGCCAACTTTTGTAACTATTAAAATTTAACAACTAAAAAAATATAAAATTTATCTTGTTCAAAGAGAGAGACATTGGCACTTAGAGAGGAATATTTTAATTAAGAGTGAGACAAGAATGCAAAGAGGCAAATAGATAATGAGAAACATACAACAGAAAAATGAGCCGAAGAGAGAGCACAAACAAAAACATGAGAGTGAGTCAGCGACACTTCGAGTAGATCATATTAAAAGAAAGAAATATACCAACCTTATCAGGGAAGCAATCTAAATATGTCTCAAGATGATGACGAGGTTTAACATAAAATGGAGTTCTTAACGCCTGGAAATAAAGCAATATAATAGCAGAACTACAATTATCCTAATCCATTCTATCAGCATAAGAAAGATACTTTTCACTAGAAATGACAGAAGTGTGCACCTGCTGAAATCTCATCTTGTGCTGCTCCTCCTGCAACCATATAAACTTATGATCATAAAAAATGATTATAAAAATTAGATGTCAAGAAAGCACAAAATATCATTTGATTCCACTGAGCAACAAGTAAGACTGTCCCTCGACAAGACAATTTACACCAGGCATATGTCTTTCAATCAAGAGATGCTGTGCATGATTTTGCTGTTCAAACTGTAAGATCACCCACTCATGCCAAATAAAGAATGTTCAAAATCATCACATTCTAATGTCATCCCTAAATGAAATTATTGAGAAGGTACAAGGTCTATTTGTGCCGTGGTTGAGAGTAAGTACTTGGTAATATAAGAAAAACAGAAATATTTCAATTGAAATGACCTCTTGTTATATGTCTAAACTCATCCTGTCAATTTACCCATCAAATAAGTTTGAATTCTCTACAGAGACTCCAACATAAATTGGATGATGTCCTTTAATACGGAAGGCATAGAAAAGAAAAGGTAGGATCCTACTAAATAAATACCTGTTCTCTTACTAGCGTAACGTTTTCCTCCTCCAACCGTGTCACCAGAGACTCAAGCTCTACAGTGTAAGCCTGAAAGGAACCAAACACTGTGAGTATTAGCCTGCAACAACATCTGACCAGCACAAAGTTGGGGGAATAAGAAAGAATGAGATCGCAGACCTGTTTCCTCTCTCTCGACCTCGCAGCCGACTCCCTGTTCTTGATCATCCTCTTCTGCCTCCGCAGCACCACTTTATCCACTGGATCATCCAGCACCACTCTCTTCCTCGCTCTCCGCCCTCCACTCTCCAAGGCACTCCCAAACCCCAGCATCGGATTCTCCAGCGGCAACTGCTGCTCCTGCTGACAAAACCGCCCACCGATCGCCGGATCCACCACGAACCCTGTCGAAACCCCGACGTCCTCCTCCCTCACTGCGCCAGTCCTCGCCAAGAACTCCTCGAGGGTCACCTCCCCGTCTGCCCCCGCCGCCGCGTCCTCGTACCCCGATCCAGCCCCGTCGGGGATCTCCCAAACCACATCCGCCGTCGTGCCAGCGGCGTTCCTAGGCAGGGGCAGGGGGAACGGCGGCTGGGCGCAGAAACCGCGGAGGAGGTGGTCCATGCTCACGGATCCGAGGGCCTCGGTCTGGTCGCACGATGCGGCGGAGGCATACGCGGAGGATTGGCGGGCGACGTCGGAGCTCGCGGACGACGAGGGCGACGCCATCACCCGTGGCGACGCCATGCGAGGCAGGAATGAGGGGCTAGGGTTCCTTCCGCTTCTAGTCTCGCGGCGCGGGTTTGTGCGGTTTTGTCCACCGATCTCGGTAGGAGAGAGAGAGGATGAGTTCGAAATGGGAATTCAAGAAGCTTGAGGGGCTCGTGAGCGAAAATTTAAAGCAGGGGGGGAACGTGGATAAAAAGTTCGGCGTCTCATCCAGGGGACTGGCATGCGTCAGTCGAACCACACCGCAATGTCGGATCTGGACGGTCCCATTACGTGGACCCTCAGCAGGCAGGACCCGCCGTGGCTAGGTCACCGTGGCGTGGGCGAGTCAACATTGACCCATGAATACGCCTTTGAGATTCGCACATGGTTTCGAGAGTCTTCGGGATTCGTGCATCGACTTGACCAGAGGAGCGTCACGAGAGGTAAGCGTTGTGCGAACACGATTCGGATCACGTGTTCAGAAGCTCACCCAACAGCCTGCGGCTCCCATTCTCCCTGTCATAAGGAGTTGGGCTCCCATCTCCAAATGACACCTTCCCTTCCTTCAAAGGGCACGTGACTTCCTCTCAGTTGCACTTGCACCATTAAAGGCATGCAGAATCCCTGATACCACCTTTGCACCTAATAGCTGAAAGCCATGCAAACTCTCCCAAGAAAGCCAAGTGGCTGCTGCCTATGAACTATACTTTAATATACCAAACCAAACCAAAAAAGAAATGAACGAAAACAAAGAAAAATGAGGACTTTTGTCACTATTAATCGACCATTTTAATACATTTTTTAGGGCCTTGGTGTCCTAAGAATGTACCAGAGAGAATAACTCTGTTGACCAACCAAAGTAGCTCACATTGCAATGACAACAGGGAAAGAGTCCTCGATGCGTTGTTTGTATGGAACAATGACAGCACGTAACAAGCACTTGATGGAAATACAAACTGGCAATTCCGGAGCACATTGCAAGACTGAAGAATACCTTCAGATATCAGAAGAAAATGCATGATAAGAATCTGGTGCCCGATCGAGATTCTCCCTTAAGCCAACTGAGGCATAGAAGCAGAATGAAATACTGTTTCAAAGGTGAAACAAAAATTTTAGTGCTCCAGATGGAAAACATATTCTGTTAAACGCTGTAATTTGCTGGGATCTAATTTCTGCTCGGTGATGATCTTGGGCTTCTTCACAGTCAGCATCTTAGATGACGAATCCAATGTCCACCCATGCTGCAATGCATCTGCACGTAGCAAACACATTCACAATCACTTAAAGCAATTTACCAAAGAAGTCACAAATGAAGTATAGAACAAGCCACCATATCACCAAAACTAAAACAAACCTACCAAATTCCTATGTAAGGCATTAAAGGTGTTCAAAGGGATGCAATGGTCATTAATGGTGCCTTGGTTCCTGAGTTTGCGTGGCATAACCTAGTTAGCACTAACATACAAAATCTGACAGAAAAAGAATTAACCAGTGTAGTTCAATTTTTAGACTCTCACTTGACCCTCTTCTAGTCTTATTCAATTCTATCTCAACTAGGCAGTCGATCAGCAACTTTTTAGTGGAGAGCAAACAGGTAACTGTATGCTTTCCTATTGGCCAGAGATGATAATATGGAGGTTGGTGGGTCATATCGAGACAGAAACCAGATTCCAAGTGGTTGTCAGCAGCTCTGTGAAAGGCTTCAGTAAGAGATTCAAGTGATTCGGATGAAAGCATAGGCCACTAGATTTTGTTGTAATCAAAGCTCCTTCCAGTGCTCTGTTTTGGAGAACCCCTGTTCGTGCTTTGCAAATTTCTAATTGAGAAACATAGTACTGTTCTAAGACTTGCAACATCTTATCCAAGAAGATTTGGCTCAAAGGCTCTTCCAAAAGATCTAGTCCTCAACATAAAAGATAAAAGACATTTGGTATCAGACTGGTGGTTCATTGCACGATTAAAATTTTTCCATATCCAATGTAAGCCAAAGATGACTAGGATAAAATATAGATCATAAAAGTGATGATAACACTCAATCTATATATATCCATATTCTAGGAAAGGTGGCAGGTCAAGGAAGATGATTATCAACAGATTTGGCGCTTGACATTCAAAATATTTTAATTAAGAAAAGTCAACTAATACTTTAAGTTATTTAAAATTCACAAAAAAATGAATTATTCGATGAAACAAAGAAAAGTATTTGAATAAGATACACTAAAACTGGAACCTTAAGGGCATAATAGACATGGCAATTAGGAATAAAAATATCAATAAGCATTCACATCACAAATTTTTTTTATTACTATATTGTTTAAACACAAAAATTCATGATAAACATACTACATGCTCACAAACAAATTTGTATGCAGTAGAGATAAAATTATGTAATAATACTTTTTTACCAATAATTCAGGATGCACAAAATCAAAAAATTATTTTAAATAAATTCATGCAGTCACTTTCAACGTACAATTTGTGGCTTCATCCTCGCTCATTCCCAAAAAGTGAGCTACATCAGCAACCCCAATTGTGGAATATGCAGAACTTAATAGCTGAAACATCTTCTTGGTATAGTTCTCTGTGGCATCACATAACAAGGATTAGATACAAATTATTCAAATTGCTGGTAACTTGCTTCTACGAACTTAAATCAACAGAAAAACCATCAAAGGATTATTGTCAAGAATAGTATTCAATCATGAAGTAGAAGTAAAGAATATCAACAAATTATGAAGTAAATCCAATTCAAATCTAGCTAGTGTTTCACACATGCATGAAGACTACATAATATTCAATTTCTTCATATATCTCATTTGAGTGCCCTTATGTCATACATAATTCTCTTATATATGGTAACAGTAGCATAAAGAAGAAAACATAATGAGAAAATTTTGCTCGACAACATGAAGTGCAAGTTGGGGCTTTTCTACAAAATTGCAATGTTAAGTTTTGGACTAGTTCAGCAATCATCCCTCGGGCAATCTAAAGCATGATTGATTTCATAAATGGATTTCTTTGTAGTGAGAAACAATTTCTTTGTTTCCTGGCTTCTGAATAGGTCTTTAGAGAGAAGATGAGATTTCCAATCTACAAAGTCCATACTTCAACACAGTGCTACAGATCCATCCATGAAAAATAATAACCTTCGCTGGCTCTCCCTCAACAAAAGCTGTGGTAGAAAGCAGATAAAAAATGCACATGCGGCACACGTAGATCGACAAAATCAAGATGATGATGGCAGACACGAGAAAGATAATTAGGATGGAATATGCAGGAATGCCAGGAAAAGTTGTGTAAATGACTACGATTGAAGCAACTGATTCCAATTTCTCACATGCTTCTTCAGTTGTATTTAGGTATTTGGGCTTTTTATGCAGTTTTGAGTGACAAACGTAAACTATTCAATCATTTGGTTATCATGCCATTCTAAGACAATGAATCAATTAGCTTAGGAAATTAATAAACCAAAACCTTAACTTTAAGTTGAGTGTGACTCTATATGATGCATAATCAGTCAGTTTTTTTAACAAAAACAGACACAGCTATTGAGAGCAAGGAGTTTGATCCAAATCAAGAGCTTTAGCAAAATACCATTAATTAATATAAATAACCATATACAATGGTATGAGCATCCACCATTGTTCACAACAATAATGTGACAACCACAAATGTTATCATCTAGCTATATAATAAAGATCACACAGACAAGTGACTAATATCATTATCTTCATCTAACTTATTCACATGAAGCAGTAATTCCATTTAAGCATTTTCAAAGAAGATTCTTCTGGAAAAGATAATCAGTGTGACATCTACAAGGATAAGTATAACTTCACTCGATTTGGTGATATAATGCAATGCCAAAAAAATTGTTAATCAATGGATGGTGAAGTTAATATAATATTTGGACTGGGGATACAATGAGGAAGTTTTTATTAATTTCCAGGCTTAAAAACAGCAAAATTTCCAATAATTCAGTTTCCTTTCAGTCACATGCAGTCCTCAAAGTGAATACGATGAATACACTTAACAAATGAAAAGTAACCAGGAGATTGAACATGTAAGCCAGAGGCTTCCGATCAACCCACAAGTTGAAAAATATGGATTATCATCCAAGAAAGCAGAAATGGAATACAGAATTGTCTCATGAGCTTCCTTGATGCAACCTCCCCTGACTAATCTCAGGAAGGATATATCAGCAAACATACTGCATCAATTTACCTGATGTCCTTGCGATAGCTTACCTTCCTAAGCAATAGGCAAATATAACCTTAAATTTCACAATGAAACCAAGCATCAATCAGAAAGCATCCATGTTATCACTCTTGAAACCTAAAAGATGCTTTCAACTTCAAGAGCCCTAATACTGTTCATCTATAAACAAGCCATCTTCTACAGAACCCATCATCAGATAGAGTTTCTTACGCTATGTTCACTGTTCTTTCTAATTCCTACAAACAAGGTTTAGAATAAAATGTAAATAAACGGTTTTGGTTTGGGAATATTGTGAGGCAGTTTTGACATAATGTTCTGTTCAATTTAGAATATAACTAGAACATGCATTTTTGGACCATGATAGGATATGTGCAGTTAACAACGAAAAGCAACTAGGAGGCTGAATACTTGTGTATAGGAGAATGTGTCTCGTGTAAACTACCATTTTATGTGAACTGATATGAGATAGGCGTGTGAGCCAGACACTATGTCCTATATGCTAGTATCCAAGAAACAATAATTTCCACTATAATTGCATTATAATTAATATAAAACATATTATAGAAACATAAACATCAAAAAGATGAGTAAGGATATTGGAATTCCATAATTGTATTACAGTATACCAAACGTCCCTTATAGATTAAAAAGGAGTTGGAGCGATGCAGTTTGGTGTAATAAGTTTGCTACCCTTTATTGCGAATTCACTAAAATTTTACTTGCGAATCTAGAAATGTTCACAGTGGCAAAAAACGAAAGACGAACCTGAGAAGGCAGTAATCAAGCCGGCGACTTCAGGGCTCCACTCGAACCCACGAATTGCATCATAAACCCCGGCGTAATCACGAGTCCAAAGGCACTGCCCGATCCTCCAAGCAGCCACGAGCTCTGGTTTGCTCTCCTTCAACCCCTGGGGTATCGATTTCCACAAAAACCTCGCGCTGTTCCTGAAACAAACACAACCATTGATCACTTCAGCCGATGAATCAACAGGTTTAGATAAACCAAAGACGCGACTCACAGATCGTTCGCAAATATGTGGCCCAGAAGATGGACCGTGAAGGGCCAGTCCTCTTGGTAGGCGATCCCCCGCGAGGCAACCTAATAATCCAAGGATCAATAACTCGATGGTCTCGACAAGCATCAAATATCGGGAAAATGGAAGAGAAGATCGAGCTTCAAAACCCTAGAAAACCCTAATGGAGGGGAAGGGAGATGTTACCTGTAGCATCAGCTCGTCGCAGGCATCAGCGATCGTGGCGTAGGATCCAGAGGCCACAGCGTTTTGGATTGGCGACAGATCCATCGCGAGGCAGGCGGCAGCGTCCCTCCCGTTCCCCTCCTCTGCAGGCTTGGTGTCGAGGTCGGCGTCTGTTTTTATTGTCGCAACGTGGTTTTGCTTTCGAAAACAAAAAAATTGAAACAGAAGCAAGATTTATTTTGTTTTTTCGTCTCTAGTGTCATGATGACAGCCACGGCGGGCTAATTATAGTTTAACCTTATTAGTTATATTTAGTATATCGATTTTTTATATTTAAAAATAAATATTAATACGAAAATAAACGTGAAAAATAATTTTAACGTTCTAGTTAATAGTGACGGACGATGTTGGTGTGATAGATGACAATGCCGACGGGGGCGCGGATGATTATTGTGAATTAGAAGAACGGTGCTAATACGTGAGGGTCACTTTGCATATGTGTCGGCGTTGACGTAATTGTCGAGTGGCCTTTTTGCTACTTAACATCTGCGTCGGCGACCCTTTTGTCACTCGATATCAGCATCACTGTGATATACATACAGAGCGATACTTCTCAGGATCTGCATCAATGGTCCTTTCATCGCTCGATAATTACATCGGTGTCGATGCAGATGTAAATTGTTCCTCACCTCTCGTTGTCGCTCTCATCATCCACAAACAATATCCTACGGTCGACAACGATGCTACCATCTGCCACCACCAACGTCATTTACTATTAATTAGAATATCAGTATTATCTTCTTTGCTCTTTGTTTTTATGTATTTATTGATAAAACTAATGACATTAGGGTAAATGAATCTAGATGTTTCACTTTCGTAAGTATAGGAATGCTAATATAACTTTTTAAAGTATAAGGATTGAGATGCTAAAGATAACTAGCTATAAGAGGTAATATGTAAGTAGCCTCGACCACCATGAGAAGCAATTATAACGGTTCATCTTTAGTTTGGTATCAAACAATATTTTTGATGTGAAAAATCTAAATGTAAAATATTTAAGATATGATTTTGTAAGTGCATATCCAACCCCTCCCCCCGGAAACCCAAGTTTCCACTTTTTCCAAGAGAACACTCCTTTTTTACTTTATTATCTTAAAATATTTTTTATTTTCTAAAAAATAAGATTATTCTTGGCCTTAACACACTGTCATTGCAGTTGCCAATAGAAATCCTGGCTTTGTACCCAATGCAGCAGCAAAAAAGCTCTTCCTGTTCTTTTCTTTCTTTTAATTTGATCATGTCCCTGGAAAACTAAGATCAGGAGATACAGTGTTATATTGCGTAATGACAGCAATATTAGGAGACCTCAGTGAACTCATATGAGATTGAAGCTGTAGATATATCTTCCTGCAATCCAAATACAGCAATGACGGTGTTCGCAAAACCTCAGCAGTTGTACCGAACACGAACGAGATACAAGCTTTTGGGTGATCAGAAGTGATAGCAAATTTCCCTAATGCTACATCTGGCCGCATACATCTACTTAGAAGGCATTACTTCCACCCTCACCATCCGCCATTGATGACAGGAGCTTGTTGCCTGAGTTGATCGCGGAGCAGTTACTTCGGATCTCGCCTTGGTTGCCAGTCAGCACGCTCAGCTGGCCCATCTTAGTGATTGAGAAGACGAACTTCTTGAAGAACAAGGACTGCTTGGCAGCGAATCTCTCGACGGTGGGCTGCGTCCTGGAGTCGGTGTACAGGTCTTGGTCGGACGTGAACAGCCCCTGCCTGTTCAACAGATCCACGTAGTACTTGTTGTCGAAGGTGTCTGGCGATCGGACGTCGAGCACGGTGGTGTTGGTGGTGTTGGCGACGGGGCAGGTGAGGTATAGGTTGTCGGCGAAGGTCTGGTCCAGGGTCGAGTCCTGGGAGGGGAAGAGCCGGTTCTCGAAGGAGGTGCAGTGGCCGATGCCGATGGTGTGGCCGCCGGAGAGGGAGACGAGGTCGTCCGCGTCGAGGTCCAGCTTGCCGAAGGCGTCGAGGAGGTTGGTGACGTTGAATGTGGGGCCAGGAAGGGAGCTGAGGACGTCGTCCCGGGTCGCGAAGCTCAGCCCGTCGCGCCGGCCGACAGGAACCTTGTATTTTGGGCCACCGGACTGAAACTTGCATGAACTCGGTTCAATCTTCATGCATTCTAGCCATGGAGTAGTTCTTGTGAGATGATGGAGGAGGAAGGAGATCGATACCAAGTGAACGGAGTAGCGGGCGGCGAGAGCGGCGATGTCGGCGCACGAGACGACCTGCCCGCAGGCCTTGGTGATGAGAGCCTGGAGGTCATTGATGGCTTCAAAGGCCGCCGGCCGGAGAGTCAAGTTGGGCGGCGCGTCCTTCTCGCTCGGTCCACCAGCCGATCCGTCGAGCAGTATCGATCCATCGCAGCCCTGCACCGAACGACATCCACCGTTCGAACTCGCTCCAAGAAGCTGCTTGTGAGGTATGAGTATATGAAGTTGGGTACCTGAACGAAGCAGTCATGGAAGTGGAGTCGGAGAAGGCCGGCAGCGAGGCCGACGTCGTTCTTGAAGGCTTGCTTCAGGTGCTTCCTGACGATGGACTTGAGGCTGGGGCAACTCGACTTGTAGAAGTCGAAGGAGAGGCCATTCACCAGAGGAGGGTAATCATAGGCTTCCGAGGAAGAAGAGAGGAAGGCAATGCAAGAGACCAACAAGAGAAGTAGAGAAGCAGCCATCGGCAAGAGAGCTTGTTATGGACAAAGGCTTTAGCTACCCTTACTTATATATACTGACTGGTTAAGATCTTAAGACATCAAGAGATGATGAACTTGGTTTCATCAATCAAGACCATGGTTTGATTCTCTTCATGCATGCATACAAACAGATTAGGTATGTGATCTCCATGTTGTGTTATTTGTTTGATTAGAAATCCATTTGGAGTTGAGACAATGTCTTGGGGTTAAACAAGAGAAATCCACTGAAGACATCAGCTTACTGGCCAAATGATGACAGTCCAAATCAAAGGTAAACACCTTGTTAAAGTTCTTCCCCATGCTGTCTCCATCTTTCATAAAGCTTAAAGAAGGTTCTCACTTTGCTTTTGTAAGGTAGATGCTCATAGTTGAGTTCAGTGGCTTTTGTAAGAGAGGCATCTTGCTTATCTTGCTCATTGTGAGTTAGAAATGAGCTAACAGGGGATTAATCGTTGTTCTAAGGAATTGTTCACACTCGACAAGGCGAGGACGATTAAGAATAAGAATGAAACGAAAAAAAGACATCTGTGTATATGGTCCTCTCTATTTATACACATAAGGAGAGAGGATTTTTCTCAATAGAACAACGATATTTTCTCTTGGAGAAATCTAGACAGCTATCATAGGAAATCTTAGCTGCTATCAAGGACTAATATATAGTTGACTATATAATGAGGTTCAACAATAAGACCCAGTAAGTAGTTGATTCTTAAATGTGATAACATTCATCGTAATTCTTTTAGTGCTATCCAGGAAGCCTCTAATGATGTTTTCTAAACTACTCGTAGGCTACAATAACATATAACGGTTGAAGTTCTCGTATCAAAGAAAACAAAATGTAAACATTAAGAAGCAATATAGAGATAAGCAAATACAAAAAAAAGTATTTAAAGTATGTGATGCACCCCAAAACATCTCATTTATACATGATGTATTTGCCTATGATAGAGAAATATTTGAAGCATTCGAAACACCCCAAGGTATCCCCCTTTATAAATGATGCATCTGCCTAAGATCAAAAACATCCAAAGTGATTGACGTACCTTAAAGCATCCCATTTGTATGTGATGCATCCGCCCAGGACAAGAGAGCATTGGAGGCACCCAACATGCTATAAGGCATCTATTTTATATTTGCTCTATCCACCGATAAAAATGATGCATCTGAAGCACTCGACACATTCTAAACGATCTCTTTGCACATGACACGTCCCCTCAATATAAAGGATTTGGATTCCTAATGTATCCACCTAAGACAAGAAAACAACCAAAGTGTAACTTAACCATTTGAATGTAGATTGCATTAGTCGAAATATCAAAACAAACATTATGCTATGTGACGAGGGTAATAATGGCGATAAAGACGTCAGCTGCCCCAGATGACGTCTTACGTCTCTGTTGACCTGACAGCACCTGGTCAACGCGGATCGGAATGCCAACCGAGGCACATTAACACCCTGCTCAGGCTCGATCCCTCACGCCACGCCAACGTCGATGTCAGACGCTACCAGAGGTACGATCCTGCTCCCAGCAGGTAAGCACATCAAACAACGATAATCCTCACTATAAAAACCCTCGCGCTCCAAGGGAAAATGAGGGAGGACGGAAAAAACCCCTTGCGACTATTCGCTAATTTTATCGTCGGAGGGGTCGGGCTGAACTCTCCCGACCCGACCTTTGTGCAGGTACGAAGATGGAAGCCTCCCACTAAACGCCCAAGCGAGGAGTTTTCTACCGGAGGAAACAGCGACCCCGTCCCGATCGGACCATCGCAGCCGACCACCTCAACGGTCTCAAGGGTCGTCCCGGAAAGATCCCCCATCATCCGGACTCGAACCAAGTCGCATCGGTCCGAGGTCACGGCTTAAAGTTGTTTACACCACCACTATGAGATAAATAAGTCCTTACCTCAAAGTGGACATATGAAATCTAGTCAATAATTATCAGATATATCATGTCAGCCATTAGTCAATAGTTACCGGACATATCCTTTATCAAATACAGATCTTATATGGATATCTATCAGTGGCTTCACTATGTGATACCACCGAGGATCATCATATTATACGGAATACATTTACTATCGAACGAGACACTCCTCGAGCACATCTATATCTATATATATATGTCTTACTGTATCTATCTATCTCTTTCTCGCCCACATGCCGAGCAACACTTACAACAGCTTGCTCTCCCCGCCGTCGCCATCCACCACAGACCACAAGAAGTCGTCCACTGCGTTGATGGCAGAGCAGTTCTTACGGATCTCACCTTGGTCGCCTGTCAACACACTCAGCTGGCCCATCTTCGTCATGGAGTACACGAACTTCTCAAAGAACAGTGACTGGTCGACAGCAAACCCTGTGACGGTGGGCTGCGTCCTGGCGTCGGTGTACAGGCCCTGGTCGGAGGTGAACAGTCCCTTCCTGTTCAACAGATCCACGTAGTACTCGTCGTCGAAGGCGTCGGGCGATCGGACGTCGAGCACGGTGGTGTTGGACGTGTTGGCGACGGGGCAGGTCAGGTACAGGTTCTCGGCGAAGGTCTGGTCCAGGGTCGGGTCCTGGGCGGGGAAGAGGCGGTTCTCGAAGGAGGCGCAGTGGGCGATGCCGATGGTGTGGGCACCGGACAGGGAGACGAGGTCGTAGGCGTCGAGGTCGAGCTTGCCGAATAAGTCGATGAGGTCGGTGACGTTGGATGTGGGAGGAGGGATGAAGCTGAGGACTGCTTCCATCGTCGCGTAGCTCAGCCCATCTCGCCGGCCGAGAGGAACCTCGTAGTCCGGTCCACCCGACTGCAACGACGACAACCACACGTGGATTCGAGGTTGTGATCTTTGTGCGAAGGCATCGGAGAGATGAGTTATACATACAGGAAGCATACCAAATAGACAGAGTCGCGAGCGGCGAGGGCGGCGACATCAGCACAGGACACGACGTGACCGCAAGCGGCGGTGATTAGAGCTTGTAGCTCGTCGATAGCCTTGAAGGCAGCCGGCCGGAGGGTGAGGTTGGGCGGCGCGTCCTTCTCGCTCGGACCGCCTGCTGATCCGTCCAGCAAAATCGACCCGTCGCAGCCCTGCACAGGAAGCACGTCCTGCCATCAGAGCTTGATCCAACACTCTGTTGGCTGAGGATGGATGCTCGTTCATGGTACCTGAACGAAGCAGTCATGGAAGTGAACTCGGAGCAGGCCGGCGGCGAGGCCGGTGTCGTTCCCGAAGGCTTGCTCGAGGTAGAGCCTCACCAGGTGCTCCACCAAGGGGCAGGTGGCGTCGTAGAAGTCGAAGGAGAGGCCATCCGCTAGTGGTGGGTAGTCATAGGCTTCTGAAGAGGAACAGAGGAAGGCAATGCAAGAGAGTAGAAGCAGCAGTAGTGCAGTCGGTGAAGAAGCAGACGCAGCAGCCATCGAAGTAGCACAAGCTGCCTTCGTGAGTTCGATCTACCTTCATTTATAGGCATTTCAGTGTATACACTGGTGGAGTGACAAGGAACCACCCAAGGATAGCATATCCATTAAGGGTTGATCCTTAGAAAAGTCAACAATCTAGCTGATCTATTTTGACTTGGAAGTTTGGGAAGGGATGTGTCTAACCTTAACTCCTTTGATTGAGTTGTTCTAATCTAGATTTTTCTATATAAACCAAAGTGGACCCCATGCAAGTCTTCTACAATGAGGAGTAGTTCACTTACAAGCATTTGATATGTGTCTAAATGAGCCACTTTGCAATGTTATTTCATACAACAATGATGATGATGATGATGATAATAATAATAAAACTTTTATATATTCCAAGTGGAAGGAAGGAATATTGATGTATTGGCAATCATATGTATAGACATTAAAAAAAAAAACACTTGTAATTATAAATGCAAACATGAAGCTCACCTTCTTCTTTTGACCACTTGACCAACATTAGCAACAAAGGAAATGATTAGCCAAAAACAGCAGCTTTATGGGCAAAGTAGACCATTAGGATTCAATGCATGGCTCCAACTTCAATAAAGCTTGAAGAAGATTTTGGCTTTGCTTATTGAAGTTAGGGCTCCATGGTGGGTTCAATGATGTTGTTGGTTTGGTAAGTACATACATGTCCCATAAATATGCATACTATTTTGAAAGGAAAAAAAAAACATGCTTAATTCTATTAAAATATTTTATATTATACAATAAATAGATATTGGTGCAAGACATCTTTTATAATGAGTGTTCAAAAGCTATTGCTGTGTTGAGTAAGAATGCATTGCCATTGACAATGGTTACTTAATATTGGAAGTCTAACCTAAAATATTTTTCTTCTTTTTCTTATTTCTATATTTGATCTGCTCATTCTCCTGCTTGTGATTCGGTGGATGCAAGATCTTATCATCTCGATCTCTTCAGCTCTGACCTTTGCATTTGATCTCGTCACATCAAGTCCGTGTGAGCTTATGGAGACATGATTGGAGCCCCCATACCACTACAGTTGGACAGAATACAAACACACTACGATTCCCTATCCAAAGTGCGTCAAACCACAAAGCAGATGAGCCACAAACTGGATGCCCATGAAAGCACCGCCACAAGCGTCCTTATTGCCCTTCCCCTCTCTCCGCCATTTAAGCAAACACCTTCTATGCAAACACACACACACACACACGTATTATCCTAGAACACCTTGCCGTCGTGGCCGTCGCCATCGACCGCATACCACGAGAGGTTCGAGTTCAGCGCCGAGCAGTTCCGGCGGATCTCGCCTTGGCTGCCGGTGAGCACGCTGAGCTGGCCCATCTTGGTCATGGAGTACACGAAGTTCTCGAAGAACAAGTGCTGGCAGAGGGCGAAGATGATGACGAAGGGCTTCGTCCGGAAGTCTTCGTAGAGGCCCTGGTCCGAGGTGAACAGGCCCTCCCGGTGGAGGAGGTCGACGTAGTACTTGTTGTCGAAGGTGTTGGGCGTGCGGATGTCGATGACGGTGGTGCTGCTGATGTTGATGACGGGGCAGGTGAGGTAGAGGTTTTCGGCGAAGATCGGGTCCAGGGTGGAGTCCTGGGTGGGGAAGAGACGGTTCTCGAAGGAGGAGCAGTGGGCGATGCCGATGGTGTGGGCGCCGGAGAGGGTGACGAGGTCTTTGGTGGTAAGGTCGAGCTCGGTGAAGACGTCGATGAGGGCGGTTACGTTGGAGGTCGGAGAAGGGAGGAAACTAAGGACAGCCTCCTCCGTCGCGTAGCTCAGGCCGTCGCGCCGGCCGAGAGCAACCTTGTAGTTCGGGCCGCCGGACTACACGAAGAAGAGATCGGAATGAGTTGAAGACAAGACAAGAAATATATATATATATATATATATATATATATATATATATATATATATATA